AGTTTTCTTAACACAGGTAAAGGATTTATGACCGAAATTTCCACAAGATAAACAGTTGAGTCTGCGAAGGAAAAAATTTAGATAAATGACCAAATCTATTAGATTTATAATATTTAGATGACTGGTAATTACTAAAATTTGCTGAAACTTTTCTGTCACGTAAAGCTAAACATGTAGATTCACGGGATTGAATTTCACATTTTAAAAAAGAAAGAAGGTCAGAAATTGTTACATTGCATTTGAGTATGTGTTTCGTTTAAAATCTAAAACAAGATTTTCCGACAATAAATTTAGAACAATTGAAATCAAAAGTGTACCATAGGATTTTGAATCCTCTTGCAGTGAATCTAAATTTCATATAGCTATATCGAGCTCATCATATAACTTTCTCAAAGATGGAACATTTGAAGAGTTAACACTTTGCAAGTTTAAACGTTTACTCATAAAAGAATCAATTATAATATCTTTTCGACCAAAACGATCTTTAAGTAACTTTAACAGTTGTCATAATTTTTATCCATTAACTTAAAACCAGATACTACACTTAAAGCTCCTCCGCTCAAATATGTTTTTAAATAGGCAAACTTTTCAATTTTCGAAAGTGAATCATTTCGATCGATAGTGGTTTCGAATGAATTCCAGAATTCATTCCACAATTTCGGATCTTCTGAATACGGTTTGATTGTTAACTTAGGAAGTTTAACTGAAGAGGGTAAATTTAAACCATCATTCGAAGTACTTAACAATTTTTCAGATGTCGACGAGTTAGTAAAAGACTCTTTCTGTTTCAATAAGTGTTTAAGTTTGTTAGTATACCTGAGACATTTTTCTTGGTAATCAGTACTACTGTTTACTTCTTCCTCGATTAAGTTCGCATCATTGAAATGTTCAATTTGACTATCTGAGGACTTAAGTTTATTCATTTTCTCTATTAAAACTTCTAGATGTTTGTCTAAGATATCACGTGTAACATTTTCATCTGCTAAAGCAACATAAATTTTTGAAATTAGTTTAGTAGTACTGCTTCTTTCAATACTACGCTTTCGTTTTAACTTTTCCAAATTTTCTTCTGAAGACATCTTTATTATTTGAAACAATTATACAGTCAAATTGAAATTGATAAATGCTAATTGCTCACCTGTAATCCTTTTGGGTGAACGTTAGTAATCCAAATGGCACAATCCAACTATGAGCACGGAATCGAAACTTCTGACACCAAAATATGGGGAAAGATTGATGATAAGCATAACTTCAACTCATGAAGTTAAACTAGAATTTAGTTATTTACATTAAAATGAAAAGAAAAGTAAAAAAGAATAATCGTCAAAACATTTTGAACACGTCTGTCCTCACTATCGTTCACGTCTCATCTCATCTGACCACACCCTAATCTAGATGGCCCTCTTACATAATCTTAGTTACAGTTCCCACACATATGTCTTTGATTAAAAACATGGTGCATTTTATTTATCTGAAAATTTATTTTAAAGTGATTGTTTAATATCGATTCCTTTTATATTTATAGTATAAAATTTAGGTTTGTAAACTAGTATTAATGGTTAACATGAATAAAAATGAATATAATATTGGGGGAGATGCAGCTTATCCAAGTTATAAATTAAATGCCCAAATGCAAAAGGAATGTAGGCATTTTAAAAAATTTCAAAATGTAAATAACTAAGTTAGGTCTTATGAAATAGTCTTATGCTTGCTGATTTGTAAATTATTTCATTTAAAATTGATACATTAACCACTTAGCAGTGTTAAGGTTACTGTGTGACTTGGATATCTCATTTTTAAAGTCTGAATTTTGATTATTGCATTCACTTATTGTAGCTTGCTTTTTAATTCATAGATAGCATTAATTAATCATAGACCACACTTTCTCATTTTTTTCTCTGTTTGATGTGGTTAAAGATATTTCTTTTGGATACTGTTTTCTATATTTCATAAGCATTTTATTTGGATGGCTTTTTGCAGAATATTTTTATAACAAATTTAAAATTGTTGTAAGAAATGATTAATTCTAACAGTAGCTGCCGTGACTGTGAAAGTTAAGACTTTAACATATGTGAAAATGTACTAAGCGAAACAAGAAGCTCTTTAATTTTAACACATTTTCTGATGATTAATTATGTGGGAATTTAAAAGATGCTTCAATTTTCTTTTGTGAAGCAGATTTTAAAAAATTCACATGCATCTTAAAGTCTGTGTCTCTTGAAAGTCTATCCATGCATGTGAATTTTGAGAAAAAAAAAAAAAAAAAAAAAAAAAAAAAAAATTCTATGTGTGTGATTATGGCAAAGCCTCGAGGGCTATCTGCCTAAGGGGAGGGATGACCTCGGGGTGGACTTTCTAAGGGAAACTGGCTCGTTAACACGTTACACATGGGAAAAACCACGAAAACGCCCATGCCGCCAGCCCGTTTGTGAGTTTGAACCTTGCACCAAACAAACCAGTGTTCAGCGACTTTACTGCTCGGCCGCTGGTGCCCCCCCAAAATTATGTGACTTTTTGTGTATTTTATATAATATTATAAATGTAGAAGTAATGGAAACTAATCATTACACTGGAAATCATATTTGTAAAATAGTTTGCATACTTTTTCATGAGAAAAATATCAGAAACCTATGACATGTGAAATTTGTGTGTTTTCCTCATTGGTCTTGCTGTCAGGCATTGTTAAAACAACACAAAAAATTCAAGCCCTGTTTTAAGATACTTACTTGACTACTGATTTGAAATATTAAACCAAGTTCAGAAATTTGAAGGTTTGTAATGCTTGCAAACTGTCAGTTTTTGTAAAATTAATTTACTACTTGTGCTCACATGTGTGAAAAAAGCCAAGATTTGGTAATTTTTATATTTCTTTTTATTTATGGCCAATAAATAATTTTTCACATATATTTTATCTAAAAATTGCATTTTCTGAATTAAAAAATATACAGTTTTTTAAATTATTGAGAAGTGACAAATAAATTTATTGATGAAAGCAAAATTCTAACTTTGAAATTCATTTGTATATTGTCCAGCAGAATATTCTTTTACACTTTGCATACACTAATGCTTAAAACAGCTTTTCAAACAAATTTCTTGACAGTCATCCCTACAGCTGTTCCTGGAATGGACAATTTATTGTCAAATCAAATTTATGTGATCAAATGATCAATATTTATATAGCAGTATTTCTGAAAGAGGAGTAATTTTATGGTCATTTTTTCTCTAAGTGTAATTTTTTTGGGTAGAAGCTTTCTTTGTGGAAAAGTTTGAATAGTCACATGCATGGATTCTTCAGTGAAACAGAGTAGTGGTTTACTTTGATTCTTTATCCTCATTGAAAGAGTCTTGTAGGTTTTCTTCATTGCTATTTTACATTTGGCATGTTTTCTTGATACATGAAAACAGTGGAATTTTTCTTTGGAAGTGCAGTTATTTTAATCTTGTATTAGAAAAGGCATGGGCGTAGATATGTGTAGTGTGGACGTAGTCAGCAGATCAAGGTCAAATAGATTCTTCTTTTCCCTCCTTTCCTTCCAAAACATGAAAGCATGAGTGAATTTTTCCCTATCTGTGGGAAAAAGTGAGTGTTCATTGTTTAGCACTGATTATGTTGCAATTTATTATTATGTTTTAGTTCAAGCAAAGATGAATTTTCTGCTCCAGTATTTACATTTAGTTTAAAATGCTGTACATGTGTAGTATATGTACATTAATGTTTAGTGCTCTTGTTATACAAAATTTGAGTTATATTTCAATTGATTCACTATCATTTAATCTTTATTTAATATTATTTATTTAATTTCATTTAAAATGATATCACCAAATCTCAAAATGTGTATACAACTTGATATTAACAAGCAGGTAATAAATCCAACTTGAAAATTGGATTTATTACCTGCTTTTTAATTCCTTCATTCTCATTCCCATACATCATACCAATATTATCATACCAAAACTGACTATTGCACATTTGCTTATTCAGTTTGTTAGAGAATTGGGGACTTGATAGTATTCAAGATTGTGTCTATAAAGCTAGTTCTCATCTGGAGTTACAGATTGTTTTCAAGTCACTTTGAATGGCTAAGGATGAAAATGAACTTTTGAAAAAGTGTTTATTGTTTAGCACTAACATAACAGCATAATCATTGAGATCATTACTTCAGTTCCCCAGAGGACTTCTGGGGAGAAGAGGTGGCCTCTAAAATCTTAGGTTAGTTTTGTCTTTCCCTAGACCCAGTTGAGAAATTTTTTAATACCATCTAATGTGATCTGAAATGGTAGCATTAACTACCAGAGTGTGTTTTCGATTTATCATTTACAAGCCTTTGTAGATAAGCATTTATTTATAATTTGAAACATTAATGTTGAGCTTTAAATTATAAACAATGATAATAATTTGAAAATTGTGTTCTTCATTGCCTCTATCATAATAATATTTTTATGTTATATTTAATGAAGGAATTATCTGAAATTTTAAGTAATATTATTTATGAATTACTCATTACACTGATTTAATATCAATATTAGTTGAATAATAATTTAATTGTATTACTGAGATTTTCATTTTTGTGTTCTTAATGAAAATTTATGGTGCGAGATTATTACTGAATTTTCAAGCATGTAACTACTAAGTCTTAAATATATAATTTCTGGCATGTCATGAACCACTAAATCTTTTTATTTTTTCATGTACTAATTTTATTACATAGTTGACTAAAATCTGATATTTAAAGAATAGAAAATTTCAGTGTGTTTGGAACCTTTTTTTTTTATAGTATTTGTATACAAATTAAGCATAATTTTTTTTGATTAAAAATTGCAATTTCATTAAAATACTGTTAAAAAGATAGGAAACCATATTTCACATAATGAATAAGCTGAACCAGTCAAATTAAACAGTATGTTTGTTAAGCCTGATTTTTAATTTGTTTAATTTTATTACTGTTATGTGAATCTTCTTTAATGTTTAAAACTTCTTTAATCCTGCTACTTCTTTCCAGAAATCAGACTAAGGAAAGAATGTTTTACAAGTAGTCCTGTCAGATGGTTAGTGAAAAAAGGATTTGTTAAAAATAGAATCCCATGCGATAAGTGCAAAGCTGACTTGGTTTTAAAAGATAATCCTAGTTATAAAGATGGATCTGCTTGGATATGCCAAAAATCAATGTGAGTATTTCTTGCGTTGTTCTAAATTGGAAGAGATTTTTTTAAATTTTTGTTTGCTCATTTTAATCACAAGAAAATTCTATTAAAAATTTAAAATAGTAAAAGTAATACCCTTCTTTGGGTGGATGCAATGCAGAATATCCTCTACTGCCAATTTTTTTTTTAGTGTTATATGTTTTTGGTTGATCTGAAATTTCTTTTTAAAATTCTCATTCTTTATTTTAGACAAATCAGAAGTGCACTGGAATTTCTTTTTTTGTATCACCAGTAGGTAGCACGGTTTATATTAACCAGTGTTTATTAACATAGCTAATACAACACTAATTTAACGTCTAAAAACTTTTCAAATACTTTTCCTAGCTCTCACTTTGGAACATTTCTACTTACTATTTAAAGTGTAACACTCATAAATATTAGTTAAAAACTGTGGTATGTGTTACTACTGATGTCATAACTGAATGATAAAATTATACAAACTGATAACTTTTGATGAAAGTTTATTCAACCTTACCATTTGTGAGGAACAGATTAAAATATTACAAAAACAAATTACCTGTTGCCTGGATTTGATAGTTTAACAATCAGCTACTTACGAGCTCTACATTTACAAATCTAAATACTGAGCAGCAGTGTTTTGATAAAAGGCAAATGTGGTGGGCATACAGCAGAATGTTGATTCAGTATACTCCTATGATTACAAACTATTTCTCTGATGTTATACTGAACTTGCCTTTAAAATCTGCGTAATTCTCTGGAATGAATGAATCTCTAACAAGGTGAAGCACAGAGGAATTTGTAAATTAAACTTAATTGGTTAGTGAAATTCAACTATAATGCTATAACTTAAACCCATATCATGACTACAGTAGGATGCTTTACTGTTAGAGTTAAAATCTTTCATTATGATGGTGTCATTCAAACAGGGCCATTTTGACAGGGTCAGAGAATGTGTCACTTCATCATTGCAGATGACTCTGTGCAATTGATTCGCAGTCCATCCTGTATGGTAACGTGCCAGCTATAGTCATTTAAGTGTCTATTTTTCATTAATGAAGGGTCTCTTCACAGGCTTATATGCTCTTATGCCATTTTCACTCCATCTTCGATTTACAGTGTACCTGTAGACATTAACTGAAGAGTTTATCTGCCATTTATGAGTCAATTTTTCACAATTATTAAAATGATCTTTTAAGGGTAAAGAAATAATACTTTGGGCATTTCATATCAAACTTTTCCTAGTCTTTCCTTTGTAAGTTAATTTTTCATATTTCTATTTAAATTAAAGGTATTAATGCATCTTTTAACTTTTGAATGATGGAAAGCAGGTTTCATAGCAGTTTGACTATATTGACAAGGTAATCTTTTCGACAAGATAATCCTTCAATGTGGAGTACATTCGACACATATAACTACTTTGCACACATTTTTTATATGAATGCAAAAGAATTCAAAATTACAACACAAAGTTTTCAGTATCAAAAACAATGATCAGCAGTGATAATTTTTATAGACAGAATTTGGACTTCTTTCTCAGAGAGAGAGAGAGAGAGAGAGAGAGAACTACAGCGCATTGGAAAAGTAGTGTAAAATTTTTTATTGCTTAATTGTACTTTTTATGAGCCATTCTTTTTTCCCTATTTTCAAATTTTTTTATTATTTATTTATTTATTTTATTTTTTTTTATGGTAAAAAGTTTTGCATTTTGTATAAAATTGTACTTAAAATATTGTATAATGTATTAAATTTGGAACTGAAATTAGTTTTAAAAGTATGATTATATCTTTCAAAATACATTATGACAGATTATGGAGCTTTTGCTTCACAATATATATAAAATACAAACCATTAGCAGAAAAAGAAACAGGGAAAACACAAATATGTTGTTACATGATCGCTTAATGCCCAACTTGGCTTGGCAATTTAAGAATACTTGTATTTGGGATATCCAACAGTCATTGTGGCTCCCATTACCCCCCCCCCCCAATATTAAGCAACAAAGGGAAACTAACCACAATGAAATGATGGAACACACACATCCAAGAGAGGGGAGAAAGCTAAGTCCTTCATTTAAGTCATTACTACATTTGCTACAATTTAATATTGTGATAAATGTTTTGAAGATTGAAGAATCAGCAATTTAAACAAAAATGTAATACTTAACTGTTAGCATATATGTAGAGTGTTAAGTAATATATGTTGAATTTCTACTGTTATTATTTAAAATATGTTTGCCATGTGTTATAATATTGTAAGATATTTTGTAATTTGATTATTTCCATTTCATTTCCATAGGTGTCACTTTCAAAAGGAATTCACAAGACCTACTTTCTATGCTAAATTTGACTATCCTATTTCTTCTATTTCTTTACTCATCTACCACTGGGCATGCCAGTCTGATATGAGAACTGTTATGTCTGAAGTACCACTTCCATTGTATCAAATTCTAAGTGTCTGGCAATCATTAAGAGAAGTATGTTCTGCTAACATGAAGGAACGGTTTGTGAAATTTGGCGGAGAAAAAGAAATCATAGAAGTTGCTGTTGTACAGTATGAAAATATTCTCATTATTGGAGCCATGCAGAGGAAAACTAAAGCAGTGTATATGGGTGCTGTTCCAAAACAGTTTAAGGATAAAATAAATCCTTTTATTAATCTTTTACCTTCATGGGTACTTCCAAAATCAATCATTGTTGTAAAATCATATTATAGCATGGGTGGAATGTATACTGTAGTTTCTGCTGATAGAAACATCATTGATGCAGATAATCATGGTTACCATATTTTAAATGTTACGCAGTATCTAGAAAAAACTGTAAAATATATGCTTGGACATATAAAAGGAACTTTATATTCTGATATGATACAGGTACACTTAAATGAACTTATGTGGCGTGAAAGATTCGGAAAAACACCCCAAACTGCATTTGCAAATATCATCAAAGAAATTTCTGCTCTTGATCAAAAAGGTAATTGGACAGTGATTATATTCTCATTAAATTTAACTGCTGGTCAATAATTATTAAGTAATTTGTAGTATTGCTTTTTGTTCATGGTACTCATGCAAACAAATTAACTGATTAAATTTACAATAATCTGGAACTGTTATTACATTAGCTGTTATTAAAAAACATAAATTCATATAAAATTTACATATATTCATATAAAATGGCAAACTCTAATTGGAGATTTTTGCAAGAATATATTTAGGTTAAATCACAAATTATGTTACCCGTATAAAAAATTGCTTGAAATGAACGACATAACATCGTATTTCTCTAAAGCTGAGTTAATTGACGCTGGAAAGAAATTAAACATTTGCTATTTGCCATTTGAGACTAAAAAGTAATCATGTATGAGATTTTCAGATGCGTTGGATCAAAGTGCAGAAAATGAATATTCTTACTGAAAGTTTTGTATTGCAAAAAAAAAAAAAAAAAAAAAAAAAAAAAAAAAAAAGATAAATTACTTTTATCCAATGACTGCAAGAAAATAATTTGATTCCTTCCACAGTAATGCTTATTCTAACAATTGATTTTCACTTCTGTACCCTTTGACCAAAAGAAGAAGAGGGATGCCTCAGTTAGAAATCACCTAACTGTGATGAAAACTGACACCTTTAATTCATTTTGATTCCATCACATTTGTCTTTTTTCAAGTGTGCTGTAAATGTGGTCGCCAACTTGTGCCTTCTTTAGCTGCAGGTGACAACATTATTGCATTTTCATTGATTCACTGGATCAACTGGTTTCTTTCATCTTAGTATTACAGCCACTTTAAACCTTGTTATCTGATTGCAAGTGTTCAAATTGAACATTGTAATATTTTTTCAATCTAGAATGGTTGCAAGATAACCACATGGTTGTAGAGTTGCTGTCTGTTGTCAGCATTGCCCATATATTCTAATTTTGCTTTTTATATACTCTCTTTGCTGCATTTTCCCTGTGCAGTATGATAGGCTTATTTAGTCATCAGCCTTGATTTTTTTGGCATCATTTGCATGTTTGTCGTAGAGTATTTGACTGTAAAATTTCATTCATATGCAATTAAATTTTGGAATTTTTTTTAAATGGCAAAGAAGGCTTTTTTCAGCTGTCTTGAAATGGTTATGTTTTATATTTACATAATATTTAGATTTTGATTATTTAAAAGAAGATCATATATACATATATATATATATATATATAAGAATAAATAATAAAATTTTTTCATAAGAATAGTTAAGTTAAATTAAATTTAAATAATTTTCTTGCACTATTGCTGCAAGGAATGAAATTTGAATTTAACAAACATTCTTTATTTGTATAAACTTAAAGGTAATAAAAATTAAATTTTAATATATGAAATTTTAATTGCATACAAATAAATGATGGTTGCTGCGAACTAATTTACAATATCATTCAAATTCTGAGAGCATACGTAAATTAAGTATCTAAAACCATGAAAAAACATATAATATTCCAAAAAATTAATCTTCAAAAATAAAAAAAAAATTAAGACTAAATTAATTTGCATTAGTGAATACTGTTGAGCAGGCAGGAGATAGATCTTATCAAGGGGAAGGTGCCTCCAAATCTAACTCTTCAATTATTCAATTCATCATTCGTCATCCATATAGGCATGGGTATAGTAATATTTAAAACCAAAAGTAAAATCAAGTGTAGTTAATTACTAAAAACTTTAAACAAAAGGAATTTTGAGAAATTTAGAAAGCAAATTGACTAAGAATCAAAATTAATTAAATGTAAATTGCCAATGTAAAAAGAGTATAAAACCAAAGTAATTTAGAAACCTTGGCCATTTGAAAACTTCCCCGACACGAATTATATATATGTATATTTTTTTTCATATATGTTTATGAAAAATGTTGCATGTAAAGCATAAAATAAGAAGAATAACAAATTTCATTTAAATATATTATTTGTTCTCCAGTTTTGACCTTAATTTAAAAAAGGCCTGAATAAAAGTGATTTCTTGTTTTCTTTCTTTAAGGTCATCAGCATTTTGAAATTTTTATTTTTTAGTGGACTTATTCATTACATGCTTCTGTCTTGATAATTTTTGGAACACTAAAAACAGAGACTACTTAGAGAGAGCAAATGTGGAATTTCTACTGGTGCTGCAACTTGAGACTGTTCTTCATTAAACATTCCAAAACTCTCCTCAAAATAAAGGAGGATATTCTTTTCCCCTATTTTTGGCTAAGATGATATTCTAGTGATAAGAGATCCACCAGAGTTAAAATGGTTAAAGTTGAGAAACATTGATAGTTTACATCCTGCATTTTTTGACTGACCAGCTACATGAGGTTTGCATGGCTTTTCTGAGATGTAACAAAAATTTGTGTTGTTTCTTCTTGGAAAGTCCTATATACAGTTACTGTTCCCTATAGGCAGGTGATCGTACATTGCCATAGCTGAATAATTCAGTCTGAGCAACTGAATTGTTCAGGGTGAGCATATGAACAGTTATGGTCGATAAAAGGATTCAGAGGGGGGATGTCTGCTAAAATATAGGTTGCAAAATTTGTCCTAAATAAAAAATTGTGATAAAGTTTTTTTAAAAAAATGTAAGTCCTTTTTACATGTTTTTTTAATGCAAGATGTCTTTTAAAATTATTCTTGTAATATTAAATTTTTGATAAAATTCTGTTTCTTTTTTAAACTGTATTTAGATCCATCTTCTGTTTTTCTGGATAGTGAAAGTTTACCATGGGTAAGTATTTATCAGTGAATGCTTTGGGTGGTAATTGCTTTTGTTAGTGTATGACTATCAAATTCAGATTATTTTATTCTTAAATTTTCTTTTTAGGCTTTACGTACTGGAGTAGTGTGTATAGCTCCTGCATATGTTCATGTAAATAAGCTTTCTAATGACGCAATAAAAAGATACACAGGTTTATCAATACGTATGTGGTTCTTTAATTTCCTTTTAATATTAAGCTCATATCTATCCTGTTCTGTGGATATATGTTTATGAAAATTTTGATTTTTTTAAAAACAAAACAAATTACTTTTTTCTTGCTGTATAAAATATTTGAAATATTGAAAAAAATATTTTGATTATAATTCTGAATAAATTATTTTAAAAGGTTCAACTTTGATTACACATTTTATATATGTTTATATTTTTTATATATGTCTCATATGTTTTAAATTATTGCTTGGTATCTGCATTTAAGATATGCAGTTTTTATAGAAGCCAGAATTATTCTAATATTCCTAAAACTACATGAAGTTTGCAAAGTTGTTCCTAATTACTCTAAAATCAGGGTTGCCGCACTACCTGGAAAACTTGAAAAAACGGGAAAGTCGGGGAATTTGAAAATTGACTTAAAAAAGTCAGGGAAAAGTCATAGGCTGTTTTAATCAAAATCTGGAGAAGTGAGGAAATTTCATACGGTGATGCCCTCAAAAAAGTGATTTTTACACCAATGTAAAGATCACTTTCTTGGCGAATTATGTATTGAATTAGCATCATTCGAGCAGCTGGTTTAGAGCTTGTTTTTGCAGCTCCAATCAGATTGTCTTTTAGAAAGACAAAGCAGGTTTCCTGTAACCTCGAGAATCGAGAGATTTGCATGTGCGGTTCATGTTGGACAAAAAAAAAAAAAAAAAAAAAAAAAAAAAAAAAACTTCCCATTCTTGTATAAAACAAAATTGATTTAATCCTAGTATCCGGTACTCACAGGATTTGGCAACATTACAATGAGCAGTAAACAGGCCATTTTGGTGTTGGCGACAATTTTCAAAATCGTGCCCAAGGCCGTACCGTAAACTAGAATTTTACCACAAAAGCTTTTAAACACTTTTTTTTTCTTTTTAATAAATGCCTCATTTGTCATTTTGCAGTAAAATAAAAAAATAGTAATCAGCCATCTAGGCTAGCCATTTAATATTCACGAAAATATCGTAGTTTACTGTAATTCAGTTTTTAATCTTTTAGTAATTGACTTTATTTTAATATTATTCGTATCATTTAATGTCGCTTCCTCCTTCTAAATTTACTTATTATTATTTAATAATACTTTCAAATTTTAGGCAATTTTCTCTTGCATACTCCTGAAACTAATTCTAACAATATGATGACATACCATCACAAAATTTAATGCACATATTTTTTGCTTATGTATGCTGCTAAAATATAAAATACCTGAATTTATTTAAAATATCATTAAATAGATTTCTTTCTTTTGTTTAGCTACAAAATGTCTGCAAAAATAGACATTTTTTAATCAAATTGGGCAGATTCTAATCTCAATCTTCAGTGGAGAAAACAACTCCTAGTATAGTTATAATAGTAGTGCTTTGGGAATAAGTCATATGTAATTGGCAAATTTTTGTGTTTTCAAGTCGTACCATAATTTACCTCTCAGCAAAACAAACATGCACTACGCAGATAGACTGGAATTTTCTTAAAACACACTTGAGAAACCTGGAAAAGTCAGGAAATTTCATTCTCCTATTTAAGTTGCAACCCCGTAAAATTCCCAAAATTTTCCATTGCTTCTACTAATATTTTTAAGCCCAGTTTGGTAATGAACATTTTTTACTTGTTTTTGCATTTCAAAGTTTTCTTTTATTAAAAAATTCTTTTAGTTGATCAACATTTAATGACTGGAGACTTTTAAGAAAAATGTATATGTTTGCCTAATGACTCTATATTATTTAAGAGCAAAAATTATGCTATGTCGTCAAATATGAGGTGTCCTTTTATATAGCCTATGCATTATTAGTCCAAACGGGCTTTGTCCCTGTTTTCTTTTGCGATTTTGCATTGGTTTACTATAAATGTCCGTTTCACTTTTCAAAGTATTGCCACCAGTTGTTAGAGTCCTGCATTATATTTGAAGAAATTAAATAATGAAAAATCTGCATAAATGTATGTATATTTCTTGCATTGTGATAAAACAATGGTACATAGAGCCATCCAATTTTGAATGACGTAATCCTACTGTGAATATAGGCATGTGGAAGCCAAATTTCTAATTTTGAATTTGTTTTATTATTGATTTCATATTTTGTAAATCTTTAATGAATTTTTTATTAACAAACTCAAGGATTTCAAAGCCAGCAATGGCAACGTTGTACAGAAAAAGCATTTTTATCTCCTGCACGTGAGACTGTGTATCGGAAGTTCTATCAATTCAAAACTATTTTGCGATATTGCTCTTGAACTGAATTTTATGGTTTAACCCTTTCACTGTTACGGATGGATTTTTCTGTATTGAAAGATGGCTTTCCAAATCGTCACACATGGATTATTTTGCCAGCTTTTGATGGGTCTGAAAGCGTTTCGAATGATTTTTTCTGCCTTACATTTTCCGCCTCGAAATAGTTGAGGACGGAATATTCTGTACTGTCATTCCCACAGACCTCCTGTCACGCTTAATTGGTAGTGGGGAAACAGCGATCGTTAGAGAAAGATGTTACAATGGGAGGGTCGTAAATAAAAACATCAAATCCAGCGGTACCATCTGCCGACTTGAGGGCGATTTTCGTGCCAAAACTGGAAAATACTGGAAAGCCTTCAACGCAAACCTTTGTGTATGCAAAAAATTTGCGAAACAAAATTTCTTCTCCAAAAGTAAATGTAATTTGCATGGAACCGATGAATAACTTTTAAAAAATTCAGCGTCACCTAATTTACAAATAATTTCTTTCAGCTTAGAATAAATGCTTAAACAGGTATCTTACAATAACTTGTAGAAGCAGAGAAATTTGATATAATTTTTGTTTTAGCTGTGCGTATTGATTAAAAATACTGTATTTTTTAAAAATTTTATAACAGTTCACAAAAAGAGTTACTTCAATATATATTTTGAATAATTGTTCTGAAACAAAAATGAGATTTTTGAAAGAGTTCAAATCATGTAATTCCATTTCAAACTAATGTGTCATTTATATGTTTGTATCAAAATTCATTGTGTGAAGTATGGACATTTTATTATTAAAATATGAGGACAAGGTGCATTTTGTTAAAGAAAAATTCGTTTTACTCTTCTGATTTCTTGTCTAAAACGAACTACTGGGAAACTTCCTTGGCATGATATGAAAACCATTCTCAAATAATATCGTATTTGATTAAATAGCTTTTTGGCGTTGATAAAATAAAGTACTGAAAGTACATGAAATCATATGATATGATGCATTTTTTACCCTAAGCAAAATACTTCCATGTTACTGAAGGTATTATCGAATAAAAAGGTCCAAACAATATTTGATTATGAATATTTTACTGTTATGAAGATGTGTTTATTCCAAATTTCGAAGCGGTTGGGACATAAAATTCTCAGCAGGTAAAAGTAAATATTTATAAAAAATAGTTGTTAGTAGAAAAGAAATGTAAATAGCTTTTTATAAAAAGCATTATAGGAAATCACAAGCATTATAGGAAGGTGGAAAAAATATGTTGATCTGGGTGATGCAAAAAATTTCGAAAAAGGAAATAAGAATTTCTGATTATTTGTCTTATATAGTACACTCCCGATTATCCACGGAATTGGGTGGCGCGGCCACCGCGGATAGCAAAATGCGCGGATAATCTGAAAAAGGCTAAAAACAGGTATAACAAAAGAGAAAACAGTCATTCCAACTTTGAAAAATCATTTTATGTACAATAAAACATAAAATAAACAGCAGGAAATATTTAACTAACACTTAATATTTTAGTATATCATTCAAAACTAACCTAAAATGCATTTTGTTAATGAAAGCAGAAAAGTGCTTTGTACTTACGAGAGGCATTAAGGATACACAGAAAAATTAATACATATGTACTGTTTTAATATTGTAATGTATTATGTAATTACAAAAGCATAACTGTAAAACTACACCTTTTTGAAGAAATCAGATATTTGTGTTTGCTTCTTGCTTTGGAAGCATTTTCTCTTGATCCGAGATTGCATTTTTCGTAACATAAGTTTCTCGAGATTGCATGTTTCGTAGCATAAGTTTCTCGGCCAACTCCGCGTCGTCTTGTTTTTCCAAATAGCTCAGCAGTCTGTCGACTTGTTGCAAAGCCGCTTCGTGAGTCTTCCGCATCTGCACAGTGGGCTCTTCTTCACCTTCACTTCGCTGTCCTTCATTCTCAGTCTCTCCCCTTGCTTTCTTCACAATTTCGTCATCTGTCAAGTGCTCGAAGCCAGGCTCTTTGACGTCACACTCCAACCACTCGTTAATGTTTTCAGCATCGACGTTCACACCACCTGGAACTGTTTTCACCATATCGGCAAGAGTTGACGTGGGCGTGTCTACATCTTCATTCTCTTCTTCACAACTCAAAGGGGTTAGGTTATTGTTGGCTTCAACATTAAGCATGAGTTTTCTCCATGATTTTATGAGGGTTGACGGTTTCACTGAGTCCCATGCAGATGCAATATTGTAGATGCTGTCCAAGATTGTGTAGTGCTTCCCAAACTCTTTCAGATCATAACCTTCTTCAATTTTAGTCATTAACAGCTTGGTTCAGTATGTTCTCTTCATTGTTGCAATGACTCCTTGGTCCATGGGTTGGATTAGCGCAGTAATGTTTGGGGGGAGAAACTTTGCAAAAATTTGTCCATCAGAAGCACGCTTGTTGCTGGGTGAGAAGGTGCGTTGTCGATCAATAGCACAGATTTTTCAGGCAGGTTTTTCGATTTAAGATGTTTACGCACTTGAAGAACAAAGATTTTTTGAACCATTCTTGAAAAAGGTTTCGGTTCATCCATCCCTTTTATTGGTTTAAGTAATCAACGGGCAAATTTTCTATCCTTGTGCCTTTGAAAGATCTCTCTCTCTTTTTTTTTTTTTTTTTTTTTTTCTTTCCAATGACAACAAGTCTAAGTTTATGTCCACCGGTAGTGTTACTGCAAGACCTGATAGTGATCCTTTCCTTGCTGCTTTTATGACCCGCCGCTTTACTTTC